GAAATAAAAGTTGTGGGGGTTTTTTCATTTTTTGATTTCCTTTATCTAAATCGGTATTGTGGAATCAAAAAAAGTCGATTACAAGTTATCTTTATGATCTTATTTCTCTGCATCGAAAAATTTCAGTCACCTAATCATAGACTACAAAGAAGTAGCCAACTATATATCATAGTTTAGGTCGCGATGTTATTTCTTGGTATGGAAGAAAGTACGATTACACAATCATACAGGTCCACACTATCCGAGTAGTATAAAGCATTTTGCTGTCTAGATGGGGTCTTTACATGCTCTATAGAAAAATTAGCTATTTCCACGTATATGTATGAGAGAATACTTGACAAATTTCCTTCATCTTCACATCTTCTTGATGCATATTTGCTGGAAAATACCCGATATTTCACTTCATCAAGGTTGTAGTCGACAGATCTTGTAAGTTGCGCTTTTCATCCAACTACTTCCAACGAGCTATATGTTATAAATAGAGGAAGAAAGAGTGGTACTAATAATGCAAAGATGATAATACCAATACTATAAATAGAGGAAGAAATACTATATTACCTTAAAAGTTGTTTGCATTTATGCTAACCTTATTGATTAATATATTCATAACTTGAACCACACTCGTTTAAAACCAATAAAAATGAAGAGTTGAGGAATAAACTGAGCTCTCATGATTTGGATATTTTGTTTATCAAAATATTTTTAATATGATTAAATCACAAATAGTCTAAATCATTGGAGAAAAAACTTGAGGGAAAATATAATTGGAGGATCAAAACAGTCATTTGAGGGCAAAACGGTGCTTTATAGTCCAACTTAAATTATTTATGGGTCATTATATTCACACCACAATTTTTGTTAATAACACTACATTTTAATTGCAATGAAGATCTCCAATTTTTGGTCGTTTTGGCAATAGTGTCTCTAATTCTTTAATCATCGCATTCATATTTTGATATTTAATTAATTACCATATCTTCTATCTAATTACGATATTTGCCCAGATATTTTGTTAGCTGGAGGAAAATAGTTTTTCGAATTTTATGTAAATTTGTATTTTATCTTGCTTATACAATATATTAGGGCAATAAATAAAACTTCAGGATCTTTGCAGTTTATCGAACTTTTTGTAAATTTGTATTTTATCCTGCTTATCTAATAATATGTGCTAATTAATAAAGTTTGATGATACAAGTATGACAAAATAACTTAGAGATATAAGTGCAAAAATAAGCAAAATTTAAGGATCTTTATTGCAAGTAAAATATAGTATAATTAACAAAAAGTATGATGTGAATGTATCACCCATTATTTATAGTTCATGGGGATAATTAAATATTATTGGGCATTTTTTAATTTTTCTAATTATAGAATTACAATTTTGGGTATATTAGGGAATGATACAATATCAATCAACTCGATCACCTTAGGAATTGAAGCCAACATAACAAACCACCCTTCAATTGCCTTTCTTCGATCACCATAGCACCTTAAGTGATACTTTATGGTGAGAATTGCTATCAATAAATGCTAGAGGATGAAGAGCAAGAACTGAGCTAGGCTTCCCTCCCTTTAGTTATGATTTTCCAGGATAGATGTCTTAGGTATATGAGATTTTCAATCTTTTCACTATTTCGAGACACATGTCGCTTCACTATTGAAGGGCTTGTAATAACTTTATCATTCTTGATAGTTCTACTATACATGATAATTACTCACTTGGTCAGATTGTTACTTTCACAAGATTCTACAGAAAACCTTTCTCGAATGCTCAATAACCCTTTTTCACCACGTGGAGCTCTCCCTTCGCTGTCACGTGGTCAAGAGGTTATTTATCTTATTTCAAGGGGACAAGATACTTGAATGTTCACATTCCAAACAATTCTAACCAAATGGGTTCACTTTTAAAGGTTCAACTCATTGGCTGAGACGAGTCAATCTCCACCATGGATGAATTTCGCAAGTCCAAAGTTGTAAAATAATTGTGAAACAAAAGGTTCGTTTTCATTCATCCTAATATTTGGGTTGAATCAAACATCTATTAATTTAGCTAGCACGAAAATGAACACGAAAAAACGGAATGTGGCAAAGAACGTGAAAATATTACTTTTTAAAAAGTCAAAAACAAAAATCTACGAAGGACGGGTGACAAACAAATCGAGCTGCACGTGGCTCTGCTAGTCCAGGCTCCATCCATAAGCAGCTCGATCTCATTTTGAGACTAATCATGGATCGAACCAATTACAATTTATTTTTACAATCTAGCTCGTGGACACGTCTTAGACTCATGGGCCAGGTTTAACAACATGGACCGCAAGTTGACTTGTGGCTCATGGGCTACTAATTGTTTTCCTTTTGACTGTTGGCGGGCAACCAAAAGGCATATGACCATTTGGTGCCAAGGCAAAAGGTCTAATGTCCAAATTTAACTTTTTTTTAATGAACATATTTTTTTCTATATAAATTCTCAGTTCACTTCATTTTTTACACAAATATCTACACTGATTATGTTACTTCAAATTTACTTAATTGAGTTATTTATGTTCAATTATCATATAAATTCAAAATTTCTACCTCTTCCTTCCATATATTATTTCAAATGGCATCTTTGAATCAATTTTACCCCTATATATACGAATCTCACATGATAATTAGGCTAAAAAGTCAGATCTAAATTCGTATCTAGGGTAGAATTGGTTCAAAGATGCCATGTATTTAAAGAAAATATATTCCATAAATTGAATCTTGCACAAAGAATTTTGAGTAATACTATGTAGCCTTATTGGGATTGCAACCCAAATCTAGATGGTGCTAGATGATATGTTAAATGAAATGTGGACTAATTTAATTTCACTTATCATTAAATGCCACATCAACGTCACTTAGATTGGAGTGCAACTCCAGTAGAATTAAATAGCATTACTCGAAGATTTAATGTATTTAAATAGTTCAATAGATGCAGAGTTTCGGATCCAAAATAAAGTGAACATATGAATAGTTAGAGATTTTCAAGATTTGATTTCATAATTTGAAAGTGTAGCTCAAGTTAATTTTCTTTAATTTTTTATTTTTTTTAAAATGTACAATTTTAACTCCATTTATATTAAAAATAGTTGATCCCAAGTTTGATAAAGGAGGAAAGTTTCAATTTTTTTTTATTAATTTATAAAAAAAGCCAGGTCATGGGTCATGAAAAGATCGACTCCACTAATAAAAATTGAAAAAGCTTCAACCTTTCAATTTTCAAGATTTGATTTCATAGTTTGCAAGTGTAGTTTAAGATAATTTTCTTTAAATTTTTTGAATTTTCAAAAGAATAAATGTACAATTTTAACTCCGTTCATATTAAAAATAGTCGATTCCAAATCTTAAAAAAGAGAAATTTTTCAATTTTGTTATTATTATTATTATTATTATTGTTAAAAATGATCCAGGTCATGGGTTCGTGTTTCTAAGGGATTTGATTCCATACCTACTTGAATCAATTAATATGCAAACTATGTTTTATTGTCATATTCCCCTATTAGTGAATTTCCTCAAAGTAATGCTATCCATCACAATTAGTGTCAAACATCATTTTAGGTGGCAATTATATGACATTTGATGATAAATTCATTTAAATACAAAATTACATGATTTATTTAATTAAATCTATGAAGTGTGATCATAAATACTGATGCTCTAGCATCATTGGAGTAGGTTGGCGGAGGGATTGCCAAATAGTCGTTGGAGCAAACGTTGGAGTGATAGCTGGAACAGTAGTTGGAGCGGCCACCGAAATGATGGTTGGAGCCGATGACTGTCTCCGGTGGAGATATGGAGGGAAGGTGGTGTAGTGGGGTGATAGGATGGAGTTGGTGAGGTGGCATGGATGGAAATAATTAATGTATATTAAATTATATTTTAATATTTAATAAATTTATTTATCACTTGATTTTTTAAATATTTTAATAAATTTATTATTTATGAAATGCGATGTTTAAAACTAAGAGTTATGTTAAGATCCCAAATATAAAAGCAAAGGTTTAAAATAACAAAAGAAAATACATAAGAAGAGGGGTTCAAGTGCCACATGGAAAGGATTAACATAAAAAAAGCCCAACACCTGAAGCCTAGAAAGGTGGGCTTAACTCCAACCAAACGCCTGAAGACAGACGCCGACTCCCAAAGATACTCATTACCTAACTCCAAGGATGACAGAATAATTGATGCAGTTCCTTTGTCAAAGGTTGAACCCCAACTTTAGAGGCCCCCACTGACCCTACTCTGGGCCATTGTGGAGGAGGTAAATCACAGGATGTGCCTCCCAGAAGCCAGGGTGGAGAGCACATGGATAGGTCAAGGCTGTTAACCCATATGGTAACTCTCGCTTGCAACAAAGCCAATTCCACCTTGCGGGGAATCGAACTCTGCACACTGCCGCGATGCAGTTCCTTTGTCTTGACATCTTCAGACTTCCCATCTATTTGATTTTCTTAGAATCATATTTGGCGGTAAATGCAACATATTTTATGTCATCAAGGCTATAGGCAAAGGATCTCCTTGTATATAGCCTTTCATTTAGTAGCAAACTCCAAGGGTGTATTATTACTATGTGCCACATCACTGATATCGCCAATGAACCGAAGAAACGTATAGAATTATGCGAACTGCCAAAACTTGCCAAAAGTCCATAGCTCAACGAAAGTAAGACCAGAGTTTTGTAGAGAATAAAAATCCTTGGAATAAATGTCAGAAGTGCACACGTTCCAGATGCCAGATAGAAGACGTGTGTTAAATATTGAATATGCAAGATTGCTTCCATCAGCAGGAGTCAAAGCAGCTTGACATGTAGAAGCTGCAATCAGCGCAGCCACAACTAGGATAGCATTACGCATACTCCCCGACAGTCCCAATTGCAGGTAAACACCCAATTTGATATGGGTTTCATAAAACGAGATTCTTGAACTCAAATAATCTTCACAAGTGGTATCCTCGACAAGTGATGTACCATGCTTAGCTCGTGCTCGAATTAAAATTTGCCTTGCATTTTCATTTCCAGGCTCTAGGATATCCATGGCTGTCTTACCTTCGAAATTCTTGTCATTGATATTTACCTTTCCGATTAATAACTCCATAACCTAAACCCAAAAACAGGTTATGTTAAATATACATATTATTGAACAACAAAAGTGCTTATTAAACAATAATACCAAACGGATCTATTGCTCTGAACAATATATGCTTGAATGAATGGACATTTAGTCAAAGCAACATGCCTGATGTTGGTTTGCTAATGCTGCAAGATGCAGCACGGTGTTTCCTTCTGCATCTCTACATCTCAGAACTTCTCCATTACCAGCCCTCATAATCCAACCAATCAAAACCTTGAAAGCTCTAAACTTTCCTCTTCTGACAGCAATATGCACAGCAGTCTCATCTCGAATAGTAAAATCCTTGATTGAGGATGGGCATTCCATAAGAAATTTGATCAAAAGATCTACTTTTTCTGTTTCCACCACATAATGCAAAGGAGTGATTCCTCCTCTCCCTGGGACACGAATGAGGTTTGGATCATGATTGACAATCCGCTCCACAGTACTGGCATGTTCATTATGCAAAGCCAAGTCCAAGGGGCTAAGGCCATCAAGGTTCAACTTCTTCCCCAGTGAAAGCTTTAGCCTCAAGATTTCAAGAGCAAGGTCGGTACGGCCTTCACGAGCAGCATTGTGAAGAGGTGTTTGAGCAAACGGCATCTCATTGGGGACTTCCAAGTAGTCAGGATTGGTGCTAATTGTGTTGTACAAGGCAACGATATCTGGATGTTGAGCAGCATCCATAGAAGTTTTGTTGAATGCAAAGCAGAAGCAAGATATATACTTACTGTAAGCTTTAAGCTGAAGTCACAGAAAGGGTGATTTTTTTCTAACAGCCTGGATTAAATTAAAAACATGAACTTCCCCATCGTTGCCTTTTATTCTGATCATATTGATATCAAACACGTTTTGTATGCCACGCAAAATCCATAATTTTCTCACCTGCTGTTTCCATATCTTTTAAAAGAATTTCCTTCTTTAATGACTCAATATTCCATTACCTGAGAACACTTTTACTTTCCTTGGGGGAAAAAGTTCCACGGGGATGCGGAGCAAAGACAAAAAGACAAAAATAAGACAGAAATGAGAAAATACAAGTTTAACGTGATTCAACAAATCCCCGATGACCACATAAACTTTAAAACCTCACAATACATCGTTTTTTCTTACTTCATCAAGTTTACCTTACTCTATTTTTTCCATATTTCTCACAAATTTTTTCTCTCCTCTGTCATGCACCACTTTGCTCTCTAAAAAACTTATTCACTGCTGAAAGAAAACATATTTGAATGTAAATCTGCACTCCAGCCATGTCTTTGACGAGTGAAATCCATTATGTATATTTAATTATTTATAGCATTTGTCATTGGTGTTAAGTAGTAGTAGGTTTACCTTTTCTAATTAAATAGAAATCCTTTTACGTTATTTCGTGGTAGAAACAATTTCTCTAATCAACGAGAATAATTTTTCCTATATTTCAATATACTTATTTCCACCTTTGATTTATCGCTTGATTACATAACTTTAAGAGAATTCTTATTTTGTCTCATAAATTTTAATACAACTAATTTGAATCATTCCGAACAACAAAAGAAATGACTTTTTTACCATGAATTACTTGCCACAGATGTAGTGGCTTTATGACCATTAACCAGTCTCTATTAAAAATTAATTTGTCGACATCATTAAAAAAGGAAAAAAAAAGTTCCAATTCTGTTTGTTATAGTCTTAATCACTGATTTTTATATATTTGTAATTTAGGTCCACAGTAATCACTTTCCAAACATGCTATCCAGTACAATGAAAGCGGAAGTTTCTTGTGTCTTTTTAGGTTTGTGGAAAAATTTTAAAAGTAGAGGTCCCATTTTCACTAACCTGGCAGTGGTTGGAAATTCAACAGGTTGACGGGGGCAATAACTTATAATAATGATTTTAAAGATGAATGTGCGGTTTTATATTTCACCTACGATTGCACACCGCACAAGAAGTTTCTGAAGTTGATCGTGAATTGAATTTGTAACAGGGGTTTTTGGATCGACCTTAGTCGAATGAAACAAGCAAAACGCGTTTTATAGTCACCTTTCACTGTTTATGAATTTACTGAAGATCTTCTTCGTATTTTCTCGTATGAACATTGAACTTTCACTATTTATGAAGGATAGTATATAGGATCGGTAGAAAGATTTGTGAAGTCTGAAGAACGTAAAGGCTGTAGAAAGAGTAGCTGCTAAACCATGAAAGAGTGAGCCCTAATTCGACGGTCAAAGAGTTTTAGAAAACGTTTTTGGTTGAAAAAAATGTGAATGAAAGATCCCACTGAATTGAATTGTACTGACTCGATCCGAGCTCCCTTATTGAATTGCTCATTCAATGAGCATTCTCAATATTATGCCTACTCGACTGGTGCCTGAATAGGAAGTCTGAGTCCCCTTTTTTTTTTTGTCTATAGTCCGCAGTCGAGATAGCTGGAAGTTCTCCAAAAGTATGAAAAGTTGGAGGCGAATATTGTATAATTGTTCGGTTTTCCGCAATTTTCTCCATTCCTCTATGTACCTGAAAACTCTCCCACTTTCAAATGTTGGGAAAAAGTTCCTCACATAATTTTTTAAAATTTCTCACCCTTTTTTTCTATCCTCTCTCATGCACCACTTTTTTTTTTCTCTCTCTCTCTAACACACTTTTTCAATGTTGAAAGAAAACCTTTTTGAGCGTAAATATGCACACTGGTCGTGTCTGTGACGTGTGAAACCCGTTGTTGAATTGTACAAGGTAATGATACCTGGATGTTGAGCAGCATCCATTGAAGTGGAATAATGCTGTTTGCACTCTGGCCATGTCTGTGATGCATGAAGCCAGTTGTTTATAGATATTTTAAAAATGTAACTTTTATGTTAGATGTGACTCGATATGATAGTTGAAAGTTTATATATATATATATGTTGTTGGGTCACTTGTCCCACCCACTTTCTTCCATAGCTTGTTAGGAAGAATTGTCCAAACTCTAATGCATTGGTTATTTCCAAAATTGGCCACAAATTTCCAAAATGATTTCATCAGAATAATTCTTTTCCTTCTTATCCAGAGTTTCTTCAGAATAATTGGGCATATTTTCCGTACTGATCTTACATCTTTTGGTAGGTCATATGCACCAACGATAAAAATTTCAATCATTTTGTGCGAAAATTATGATTATGTGATCTAATGTGTTGTGCGATTGTGATTCCCAATAACAAAATTGTGACAGTCCATAGTTTTAAGTATGCACGTACAAGTGTCTACACGAGTCTATAGAAAACTATCCATATGTGCACTGATTTTTATTACGCTGTGTGATTGTAACTTATAAGGTTGTATATATATGACAAGCATTCATGAACACGTGACACTATTTTTTGGTTTCATGTCTCTTTGAATGTGACCTAAAACACATCTTATTGAAAATTTTGACTTCATGCGAGAATTGTGACTCAATTTAAGGCCGAAGGCTTAGTTCAAAACATAAGTATGAAACCCTTGATCAAGTAATACATACATATATAGTTTTCGAAGTGTTTTCAAGAGTTTGAGCTTCGACCCGATCATTGTCTATTTTATAGGGGAATTTGGCCATTTGGCCCAACTAAACAATATATTTGATGAAATGACCTTTGACCAATAATAAAAACAAATAAAAAATAAAAAATATTTTAGTTGGCAAAATGACAAAATTCTCCTTTAGTTGTTAACTTAATGTCTTCAAATTTTTTATCATTTCCTCTTGTCATTTTTCCTTCAAATGCACCTTAGAACCCTAATTTTTTTTTCCTTTTGAAAATAACATCTTCTTCCCCTATTCATCTTCTTCAATTTTAAGTTCTCAAAATTACATTCACTTATTTTCTTCTCTTCAATCATATTTGAACAAGAGTTTGGTTAGCATACATTTATATAGAAAGAATGAAGAAAGATGCTCTTAGAAATTTCAATGAAGAAAGATGCTCTTAGAAATTTCATCCATGTTGTATTTTATTATTAAATATAGTTTTAAATAATATTTAGTTGGTATTGTTTGCGTATTTAGTATGCTTTTTGCGTTATTTGCTACCATTGGATTTAATAACACTACAATTGCTATCTGAAATATAGAACACTACTCCAGTCGTTATCTGTAAAATAAAACGACACTACAGTCGTTATTTGCTATAGTTTAATTTTTTCAACGAAATGACTCTAATAATGGACTCACTAACATATATAACACAAAAATATTGACTAGTTACAAAGAACGATTGAAACGACATAATTTTTATATTATTGAGATGGTGAAAATACAAGTTATCAAATTTATATGTGTCGATTAAGTTAATAAACATATCTATCAATTTTTTTGTGTGTCATGTACATATTACAATATAAATAAGTTCCAGTATTATTTTTCAGGAAAAGAATGGACCGTAACTACTTATACTCATATTTATACACGTAATAGTACAAGTGTCATTTTTATGTCCAATAACGACACAAGTGTCGTTACGAAATTTTCGCCTACATCCGATTTTTTCAACAAAACAACATTTAATAATGGACTCCCTAACATATGTAATATAGAAAGTTTGACAATGTCATAAATAACGTAAATGAGTTCCACTATTAGTACTCAGAACATAGATTTTTGTAGCTGCTTTTACTCGTGTTAACATATATAATCTTTGTTTGAGCCTCATTTTTCATCAAAATGCATTCTTGAACAATAATTTGATCCCATTTTAACCACGCGTTCTTTAATAAAATATTATTACTCACAAACTCAAAAATTCTTTTATTTTTTAACCATACATTCCCCATTACAACACTATTACAAAATTCATTTGTTAAAAAAAACAATGGGGAGAGGGGGGCTCAATCAACCCCATAATGGCACAAGAGTTGTTTTCATATTAATAATGGCATTTGTGCTATTTTGTTGATTTTTCCTATATTTTTGTTAATATCTTTTAAATTAAATATTTGCGTTTTAATTATACATATATCTCTAGTTTGTTGTTGTTTCATGATAATGGCATATGTTATGTTATTATAAATATAAGCACCTATGAAAATAATATAAGTACCGTTACTGAACTTATAAAAGAAAGATGAGAACGATATAAGTGTTTTCATGTTTGTTACAAAATTTTATGAGAACAGAGCAAACATCATTACTTAGATGAAAATATGTATGATTCATTAGGTGGTCCAATATATGAAATTGCTGTACTGGAATAAAATTAAAATATAGGAAAAATCAATAGAACGGCACAAGAGCCGTCATTGAAATGAAAATGACCCTTCCGTTGTACTATCTATAAATATGAGTTGAGAAATATGCTCATTAATTGTTAGTCTAGCATTCCAATGATAGCATAACTACCATTATGGTTATAAATTTAATTGTTCATGAGAACGACACTTGTGTCGTTACTAAGACGAGAACATCACTTGTCTATGGGAATGATACTTGTATCGTTATTGAGATGAAAACGTTTATGAGAACGGCACAACTATCACTATATTTGATTTATAATTCTCCATGAAAATGGCACAAGTGCCGTTACAGTAGTTAAAAAGTCCCTAAGAACGATATCAATGCCATTATTGAGATGAAAAATTCTAAGAGAACAGCACAAGTGACAAACATAAATATAAACTTCTATTATTACTATGAAAACTGTACAACTTAGGGTGGCCAAATATAAATGTCGTTGCGTTGAAAACAAATGAAAATAAAGGAGAAGTCAACAGAATAGCTCATGTGCCGTTACTGGTAATAAAATGGCACTTGCGCCATTCTGTTTATCATTATGAGTTTAAGCAACCACGACCTGTCCTTGCCTTGTGAAATAATAAGTTGAATCCATTCAACTTGCAAGGGAGATATGTCATTTAAAAAAATTAAGAGATATGCTCATTACTTGTATTTCGTTGAAAATAATAGAATCACTTGTGTCGATATTGAGATGAAAAGTTCTAAGAGAACAGCACAAGTGCCGTTTAGAGGATAA